TACTATAACTACTACCACCACCACAACCAATAAAGTTAAATCAACCACTGCCTGTAATGGATTAAAATAATAAATGTTCCTGGATTTTAGTGTTTGAAGTACTTGAAGAAAACAGGCTCCCAGCAGCCAGTACCGCTGAATGCATGGGGACATTTATTAGTGATGAATTCAAGGGTTTGGCCTGTTTAAGATCATTACTTTCTGTTTACCCTGTGTTACACATCTCATGTTTTTACAGAGCCCATATGTGTCCCAATGTAATGCTGAAAAACTCTCTTTCACTAAAGAATAGCTAATTGGTAACATGTAGGTATTGTTCTCATGGGGAGAATGAACCATCATAAGATTCAGCTCGATGCTAATGAGAAATCCAGTGCGGTCACTGGATTGTTAACTAAATCTCTCCTGGAAAATTGTTCTTAAAATTGTTCTTTACTGTGCCTCAACACTTGCTTGCTACTGCTGTTTCCAGACTTGAGTAAATTGGCTGGCTCTTAAATTAACTGCAGTATTTTCCCTGTAATTATTTTCACAGCTTTGTTACCCTTTCTTCTCAGAAAATGGTTTGTCAAAGATACTTGTCAACAGAGCATTGTAACTGTAGTATCGCTAGTCAGTAGGTGATGTATCTACAGTTCTCTTAAGAGGAAAGGATTAGATAGTTGTGCCAGTATATTAGATATAATACATATATATTTACATTTTAATAGCTGTCTTAATGTCACTGACAGTATGAACATAGCTACTGAAATTACAAATGTGAGGAGTGAATGTTCAGAACCAAATATCACAGATTATCATTTTAGTAGAAGGTAGTAAGGGAAATCACTTGCTAATTGATCTTCAGCACCAAGATTGTATCTCTGCCACCCAGACATGGAGGACCCATGGGAGAGCCTGGACTTCTTCCCTCAGGGAAAGATCCCACCACGATCCCTTGGGTGGGAATACATTCAACAGGCTGCTGCTGGTGGTGACACCACATCACTCACATGCCTTTGATCCAGCACACCTGGATCTGTGTGCTCTGGGACACACTCTTGCCCCTGAGCTGCCCCAAACTCAGAAAAGCTGTTTGCTTCATAGTGCTATTGTTTGCTTTGAAAAGCTACTGGCTTTTCAAGAGAGCTAAGTGCCAGTTCAGTGCCATTTGCTAACTTTGTTAAAATAAATGTGCTTTCATTTTCTTAATTCTCTTATCCCCTATTGAAGTTTGCCAATTAAAATCATGCTCTGCATTGCATTAAGTGACAGTGCTGTGAACCAAACAGCATTTGCAGCTAAGGAAGAGCAAATGCACAGGGAATAATAGAAGGAAAAAAGCTCCCTCTATATTTCTACTCATTTCATTTGGACTTGATTCAAATATCAGCACTGAAATGTTTTTGAAAACAGAAAGTCCATAGTTTTGTCAAAACATTGTCTTTCCCTTTGTTAACCAGGAAAAACAAACTGAGCTCTTTTTTAATACATGTATTGCTTAAACCCTATGTGATCATTACTGTGAGGCAAGGATTGTTTTTATATATTTGCTGCATCTATTAAAATGGGCGATATCTTTCTTTTTCTATTCACACAAACAGATTTATGCACACATGGCAGTTTAACAAGGATGAAGCCTCCTATTATTGACAGTTTCTAATGCAACTCTACTGTAATTATATAAAAACCCTAATCTAGCTATGTGTAAAACTGTATTAGGATACTCAGATTCTGTGACATGTCTTTGTAAATCTTAGCATAAATCAAGTATGTACTGATTAAAAAAAGATGTTAGAAAATCAAAGTAAATATCTTTAGATAAAATTTTTTTCACTGTTCTGTTACGAACTCCACATTTAATTTTGGAGCAAGGTATTTCTTGAATGTGATAAGCTAGCTATTTTTAACCCTTCTATGTTATTTCCAGCCATATAAAAATACCTGGATATTCCTTTTGTGCATATGTCATTATAAAGGTAATCCTTCCAATAGCACACAGAAGCTTGGTGTAAGTTCTCTTTTGTTCTATTAGGGTAGACATGTTTTGTGGAGTTATTGTATTTCTGGCTAGAGTCTGACAGGGGAGGGCTGGCAGCATTTTTTAAACACTGTCCAAAGCAAGTGCTTCATATTTATTAGTCTCTTGGAGGAGTATTTTAAAAGTCATGAAACTATTTGTTCCTAAAAGTAAATTATTGCACGTACTGAAAAGTGCATTGGTGTTCATGAGCCATAATCCAAACAGCACAAGCTAACTTCTACATGTCACAGCAATCATTTATCAAGACATATTGCTTCTTTGTGCTGCTATCTCAAGTTCACTTCAAATGGAAACTTAGATTTAATCTATTTAAACTGAGACCTCTACAAAAGAGGTTTGTGAGAGATGCATTGAAGGACTAACTGGAAATAGTGTGTGGGAAGGCAAAACCAAGGGAAAATTATTTTGCATCATTACTTTTCTGAAGCGATTGCTTTAGTCATGGGAAAGCACTTCACTGACTGAACATATACTTTTAGGATTTCAATAGAAATAGTATCCTATTGAAATTCCTCTCAGACGCAGAGATCTCTTTACTTACTCTTGCTTTTTAAGGTTTATGCATACTTGTTTTCATTTGTTTTCTTTAAGCTTCCTCAAAACATCCCTTCATGCTAGTTTGTCTAAATGCTCTCTGCATTGAATTTTTTTAAGAGTGAACAGTGTTTTTTATACTGAGTCATTTCATCCCTGGAAGGACATGGAGATACAACTGCTAGAAGGGACGAGGGTGTGATTCTTGTCTACACAAGAGCAATCTAGGTCACAGCAAGAAAAATTAAAATCTCTCACTGAGTTCCTGAGCATTTCCTGGTATTTGTAGGACACAATCCATGGATGTGTCTTGTAATATTTCATGTATTGAAAACTAACCAACACTTCCTTATTCTTAATTGTTTCTTCATTTCTCATTGTTTGCTAAGCATTTGAGAAAGGCACTGCTGATTTTGAACCAGCAGTATTATGTGCTGAATGCTCAGTTCTGCTTCTAAGCTGTTGGATATTGTGTTTTCTTTGTACTTTGTGGAGCTGAGATGACAACACAAAGGGACTGCAAAGCATAATCCTTCCAAGTGTAATCCCAGTGAAAGAAAACATAAATAAAACCACTTGTATTCTGGCATTCCTTTTCCCCTTTTGTTATTTCTGCAACTTGGCACGTATTCCAATAAAACTATAGGAAGAACATTTCTTTATATTGAAGAATTTAGCAATAGTTACCAAGAATTTATTCTCTTTAAAATCAAAAATATATATATAATATGAAAAAAAAATTAATTTCCAAATATTGTAGTGCCTCTTAAAATAACTAGCCATAGCAGGGTGTTGGTGTGTATTTACATTAGTTTTCTTGATTATCACTGAAATTCTGTGTCGAAAACCACCTTGAACAGACCTGTCCCATAAGCCCGTTACCCTTGAGAGCAGATGCAGGATTTCAGAAGCCAGCCTAAATAAAAAACCCCAAAGCTAGAACTCCTTTCCCAGTCAGTGACAGCAGTCCTGTTGATGGGACAATGGTTTGTTTGAGCCCTTGATCATTCTTGCAAAACTCCAGCAGCTCAAAGAAAAGGTGGTTTAGGTTTGTGGTTCCTACTCAGGTTGGACAAAATTCAATGCCATTATTACTATGGGCACTGTTAGGCCACCTTCCTAGTGTTTGGTGGTTAAAAAAAAAATGCAATGTATTTCCTTCCATTACAAAAAAAAATAGTGCTTAGTGTTATGACACTCTAAGCCCCAGGATGCATACAGATTTTTCCCTTTGATATTAGGAGAGATTCATAGGAGAAGTTTTACGGCGTAGACTCAAAACAGTGAGTTGTGTTTTGGGGGATTTTTCTACCAGCAAAGTTATAAAAATATAAAATGAAACTGTACCTTGAAACACCTGTGTGTAAGCCTTAGGTGTTTTTTGGTTTTTGGGGTTTTTTTTAATCTTTTACTTTTTGTAAATGTCTAGTTTCATTAGAAAAATAAGCTCTGTGTGTTATAAAGCAGGGAGACATCCAACATTCAGGGTGTGGAGTCCAGTTATTAGCACCAAAAGAGATAAAAGTTAAGCCAACCTCAGATGTAGTATTTTCCATGTAAATATACAAAAAAAATAGAGATATTAGGTATGGTTTATTTTATTAAAGAGTGATTTGCAGTAAGTTAAATTCACAAGAGCTGGGATATTTCTAGATGATGTTTCTATCCTCAAAATGTTTGTGTCTTTAATGAGAGTATGTAAGTTCTGTCATAAATGTAATCTACCATTATCATTTTTAGGTTTTATGAAGCTATGTAAAGTTCAAAAGGTTACGATATGAAAACTTTAAACTCTTTTCTCAGGAAATGTGCATTATACATTTTGAGATAAGCATTTGTTTTCAATTATTTGAATTCAAACAGTACTCTTCTTCTCCTGCTAAGTAGCAGGAATAAGTCTAGCAAGGTGTTATGTTATAGTAATTAATCTGGACAAAACAGAAAACTGCTCAAAATCGCTATTTCCTATCAGTTTGAAATATAATCAAGTGAAGCAGCTGTTTTTGTTCTTAATAGACTTTTTTGAAAAAAAAATCATAGTTTAATGAAAAATGTCTCTTTTAATAAACCTTAAAATACTCAGAATCCAAAAAGTAATGTTTTAGCAAATGGTTCTTTATAAGGAATGTGTATGAGACATATCTGCTCTGTAACTACAACATGGTATCAGGCTTGGTTGATAGTGTAGGAAGAGCAAGTTAAGGAAGAAACAGGAAATTTTAAAAAAATTACAGATCTTGTTGCCTAGCTGTGATGCCCTTGCTTGGAGAGGAGTGTGATTGTCCACACAAGTATTTCCATGAAAATTAGTGGGACTACTTGTGTGAGTAATGGCTTGTGGGCAGGGGTCCCCAGGCTCATGGTAAAGTGACATCAAGAAATAAGCACAAAAATGTTGGGAGAGTAAGTGCCACTGGGATAAAATTTCTCTCTCTTCTTTTAGGAATCCATGGATCATCTTTAGTCCTTGACATAAAAGATTTCTTACTTAAAACAAGTCTCAAAGAAAGAGCGAAATCTCTGATAGGCCCTTTTAGCTGCTCTGTTAATGTGGAAGCCAAGTGGTGTAAGCACAGTGGTGATCCTGGCCCAGAGCAATCTGTTCCAAAAATCTACATTGACTTGAGAGGAGGACTGCTACAGGTCTGTATAAGATGTTTATAGTTGTGCTGTTGAGCTGGACTGGCTTTGGATTGATTGAGTTTTCATAAATAAATTGCATGAAAGCCTTTGCATCCTACAACCGGTCACTAGGTTGGGGATTTTTGCATGTTGGATTTGGGTGGTTTTTATTTTACCTTATAAAATAAGTATCTACTCTTTCAAGTAAACTTTTGATTGAAAAATTGTGTGCAGTGTTTTTGTTTTTGATTTATTTATTTTTTCTAAATACTGCTTAACCCCTGTATTTTAGCTGTATGTGTGTGTTCCTTAAAACTGCTGGATCAAATTACTAACACTTAATATCTAAGGTCCTGTTCTGATGGATGTGTGTTTGTCTGTCCATGATCTATGTGTCTGTAATGCCTGGGGGTAGCCTTAAGAAGTACATATCCTTTCTTTCTAAACTTACACGAATTTCTCAGGGGAGTAATTGCAAACTGTTGTTTGTAGCAATTAATACTCCATTTTCCATGCTATCCTCTCGTTTTTGGAAGTGCCCACAACTTGAAATCAGTCCAGGAAGCATGGGAGTTTTTGAAATGAAAAAATAGATTCTGTGGGGCTTAAACAAGTGGGCTATAAGATATGTCTTGTTTTAATTATTTTTATTGTAGTATCTATACACACACCAAATGTTTTAAAATAAATACATAAATCAAGTTTATAAAATAAAAAAAAAGAAATTTTGACATTTAATCATGTAACCCAGAATTAGCATTAGAAGGTCTTAGAACCACAGTGCTGGAAATAGGGTTAATCAGATAATACAAATTTAGAAGAAAATTTAATTAATTTAGAAACATTTTAATGAATAAATAAGTCAATTTGTTTCTTTGCTCCTTTTTTTATTTGTTTTTCACAGGTACTTGGCTGACTACCTCTGTGTTGAAAATAAAATGCACTTTTTTTTTCCCAAAATTTTGGGATTTGACAAATATCAAAAAAAAAATCTGTAAATCTCAGAAAGCCATTTATTATTAGAGTATAATTAGGGACAATTAGCTTCTGTAGAAGAGAATTGTTTGGTCTGGCAGAATAGATTGAAGAATGCTGACAAAATCATTAGCAGTTCTGTTTCAAATTAATTTATTTATGGCTAATGATTTTACCAGCTCTAAACATGACCTCATCTATCATTGTTAATTTGTATTGCAGCAGAACCTTGAGAGTTTATGTAAAATCAGTGCCTCATCTCTGAATATTGTAGTAGGAGTTCCATGCCCTGGAGTTCCCAGCTGCCTACAAATGAAATAATGAAACTGTGAGGGAGAAAAAGCGTCTCAGATTGGCTTAAGGTGACAGAGAGCTCCTTTGAGGTGGTGCTAGAGTTGGTGTGGGGCCCTGAGACCAGAGGTACTCTAGAAACCATGGTGGAGATGCACTAAATTCAGGGGATGACCTGCCTGGCCTGGGAATGTTTAGCTCAGGACTGGCTGTGGCTGTGTTTCAAAAGGGTCTTGGTTTATTCTGTGGGCTTGTAGATGCAGAGCAGTAAAAAACCTGCCTTCTTGGCAGCTATACTGCACTCCCTTTAAGTATCTTTTGATTTTTTTTCACATTTGAAAGCTGGTGTTCCCCCATTGAAAAAATTGCACAATGTGCACACCTGACTTGTTTGCTTTACTCACACCCTTACCATGGACTTTTAAGTTACTGTCTGGGGATTTTGATTTCATCCCACACTGGTTCCAAGTCTAATTTCTGTATTAATTGCTTTCTTGTCTTCCATGTTGCTTCAAGGCCTTCTTGCACATAAAGTCTAAAGGACTTGTCCCCATTAATACAATTCTCTCAAACAGGAGCTTGATTTAAGAAAGCAGAAATGCTTGTCAAAGCTGGGAGAAATGCCTTCTTGCCTTTAATGTTGCTACAAAATGTGTGGATCTTCTTGACTTTTGCATGCCAAATTTTATTAGATATTGTTCTGTATTTCTGTTCTAAACTTCAGAAAACTTTCAACTTTTTAACCTCAGGGGACTTGCAAAGCACCCAATTCATATGCTTCAATTTTGTGCTTAAGATAATCTTTCATGTCTTCTGCATCACATTCTTTGCTCTGTCACTTAGTTTTAAATGTATTCCAGAATTCCAGTTTTGGAGCAACAAGTTCTTTGAAGAGTTTAAACTTTGTACCTTTAAGGGGTTTTTGTCATGTATCAAACTGAGAAACCTGTGACCAGTCCTAGCATTACATACAGTTCTTGAATATAACTTTTAAGATCTGTGGTCTTCCAGGCAGCATCACTATGAATTGTTAAATGGTAGGAATGAATGTTTTCCTTCAGGTAATGAAAAGAACATATCTTACAAATGGTTTAGTAAAGATATTTTGCTGCTTCTCTTCTTTATTTTAACATTAGAAATGCTTGCAACTAACTAAGGTGTAAGTAGAGCAGACTCAAAGCTGTCTAAAGTTCCTGTTGCTTTGGGGAGGTGTTTTTCCCTTCAAAAATGGCTGAATATTTGTATGTAATTTTCTCTTTTTTTCTCTCTCCCCTTTTTTTTTTTTTTTCTTTTTAAAGGTTTTCTGGGGTCAAGAGCATTTGAACTGTTTAGTTCTTCTCCAGGAGCTTCTGTGGCAATACCTGACTAAAAAGGGCAGTGTAGAGACATTGATACCTGAACATAAATACCCCACTTGTTTTTCTGCGGAAAGGAATCAGGCCTCAAAAACTGAGCATACCTCAGATGATCTGAGAACAGGCCTGTTCCAGTATATACAGGATGCAGGTAAGAAGGATATAATTTTGGCTTTTTTTCTTTATTTTTTTTTCTTTATTTTTTTCTCAATTATAAAGTAAAAACAGTAGTAACCTATTAGACATTACTTGTCTCTTACAATGAATAACTTTATATTTTTTGGAAAAGCAGTTGAAAAGACATCTGCTAGAATTTAAAAAAAAATACTTTAAAATAGTTTTTTGATTTTTTCCATTAAGCTATAATGTTTTAGAAGTCAGGGAAATTGCTTTTTTATTTTCTCTCCTTTTGATCCCGAGGGATTTCTTTTTAATCACTTTGGTTTCATAAACCAGCATGTTTCTTTCTTGAAATTGTATAACAGATTATAGCTTTCTTTCAATTGACAGAAGCACAAAAGCTGCCCAGTGCCTATGAAGTTGTGTTTTACAATGAAACTGAGGATAGTCCAGGAATGATGCTATGGAGATATCCAGAACCCAGAGTGCTCACGCTTGTAAGAATTAACCCTGTTCCTTTTAACACCACTGAAGACCCAGATATTAGCACTGCTGACCTTGGAGATGTTCTTCAGGTGGGTAATGAGTTTTGTACTTTCTGTGACAAATGAAAATGTTACTGCTGTAAAGTGAAATTTTTCAAACACAGATTTATTAAAAGCAAGCACAAAACAAGTGTCAGGAGCTCTATAAAACCAATATGAGGTACATTGCATAGCTTGAGCATATCTTTAGTTTCAAAACTACTTGTGTAAACCTTTTACCCAATTACCTCTGAAGTTTTTATGTTGCATAATAAGCTATAGCCAAGTTTATCAGTTTTAGTTTGTGAGCATACAGATCCATCACTCTTTACTTAAAGACTTCATTTGGTTTGAAACTGAAATATGTGATGAAAGACTTGGTCTGAAATTTCCAAGATCCAGTAGAATCATTGAAGTAAAATCTCCAATCTGCCTATTCTCTCCTGTTTCTGTGATGGCAGAAGGCTGTGCTGCTCCTTCTTCCACAGGGCAGAGGGAAAGCATCTGTTTTCTCTCATTTTACCTTGGGAGGGTTGAAGTGGACGGTGCAGTTTGACTGTGTGAGATCATGGAACGTCTCTTTGAAGGAAGGCTGAGTGCTGCAGTCTCTGTGCCCCCAAAATAGACCATACCTCAAAATTACACTGATCCTTAATGTGCTGGAATTTTTTGCTTTCCCATGTATGCAATTGGGTCATTACATTTTCTCCTGTCTAGTGTAATTCTTTTTACCTTCACTTATTCCTTGCATACATATTTTGATTTTAGCTCAATTTTAATTCTGGTAATCTCCATTTCCTTTTTGTATTACAAATTGGACCTGTCATTATTTTTTTTTTAATTTCAATCTGTTTGTCAATCAGAATAGTGTTGTGAGTCAAGGGAAATAAATATTTCTCAGTTCTTCCTATTTGTTCCAAATGGTTGAATTATATTTCATTATTGCTGTGATGGTAAAAATTGCTTTTAAAATTGAATTATTCACCAATATGCTTTGAGTTATGAATAAGTAGGATAATCTTCCTCAGATAAATGGTATAATGTTATTACCATGCACATACTGTTGGTGAGATCATGTAAGTGTCCTGCCAATTTCTTTGCCCTCTAGACAGCCACATGTCAGCTCCTTTCAGTTACATGAAAATTAAAATTAAATGGAAAGAAATCAGCTCCACTTGGCATGAGGTTTGAATCAAAGATCAAGATTGTGTTATTGTAGGCTGTCTTGATGACCCTATTAGGTTGCTATGAAAGCCAGCATTTTGCCTTCTTTCAGGCTGGTATTTTTGGAGCACAGCACACCAAGGTTTTGGTTTAATTAGATTACACTCCCATTATAAATAACAGACATCATGAGCATTATGTATGTGCTTGTGGAATAGTATGACCCTGTCCAAGGGGAATATCAGTTCTTCTTCAAGTGGGCAAACACAGCTGGACTTTCAGTAGCACACAAGTTCTGCTTTGTGCTTCCATGCGACAGGCTAGAGAAGAAGTCCAATTCACTATGATTGCCTCAGAGAGTCAGAAGCACTCAGCTACCAGTGATCAAGTTCTGTCAGCTTCTACTGGTGTTTATGTAATTCTTCAGATTTCTACCACAAAAGAAAACACAAATATATCAGCCAAATTAGAGGACATCTAGTCAAAAATTCTGCTTTGGACACATGATGTGCAGAAATGCCTACAGGAACATCCACGCTTTGGTTGTAGGCCATTAATTATGGCAGTAATTGTTGCCTGGCTCAAGATGGTGATTTATCACATTTTCCAGAAATGGCCATACATCTGATGAACAGCCATTTAAAACATGGACAGTGTGCATTTTTTTATTGCTCTAACAGAGGTATGTGGGTGGAATAAATAATACAGAGTCAATTTTTAATTTCTTTAGGTAAGTTGCACTTACCAAATACTCGTATCAAACTTCAAATACTAATTTAAGTTAATCATGAGGTCTTTCATCAGCTGCACTTTTTCCCTGTATGGATACATGCTAATTAATATAGTGCAGATTTAGTGCATAGGAAAATTCATTGAATACAAAGAGAAAAAAGATAAAACAACGTTTATCTTATTCAGTTCTTGAAATGAAACATTAGAAAAACGTCTGCAAGCCAAAGACTTAAGCTTTTTTGAAAAAAAAGGATCTAAATTTAAAGACAATAATGATACCAAGCTACGTATTAAAATACACTTGATAAACTTTCCCAGGATTGTGTATATGTTCAAATGCAAGGAGGACCCATAATGTCCCCAGCTGTGTTACCAGTCTCCCTTAATCCTCTCCTTCACAAAGATTCAGTCAAAGGTGCCCTTCTGTAGTTTGTCTTGAATTCAAAGTTTTCCATTTGCAAGTTCTTTCTTTCTGAGTAAGTTGCTATGACATTTAATCTAGCTTTCTGTCTTTATTAAACTTTCATCATAACATTTTAATCATGGGTCGCTTTTAGAACTCTGTTTTTATAGTTATCATTCAAATTCCTGGAACTTGCAAAAGCTTCACCATAAAGGGAATTTTTCTAAATATTGAAGGTATGTGTTACCTGGTACAGCCAAAGGATAGAGACCAGTTTCACATTATAAGAGCTGATATGAACTATATTGTTTCTGTTGAACCTTACTTTGCTGCTATTTCTAAATTGCCCCAAGAGCTGTTTTCTCATGCTTTACCTTGTGTTGTTGCAAAGGTAAGCAGTTTCGCTGGTCAGGTTTCTAATACTTTGTTTTTACAGTCCAAACATTGTTGCTTTTATTTGTGGAGGGAACAAGAATAACTGATATCTCTGCCATGGCATACCATGTGGCATTTCTTTAGCAATTTGAAATAGAATTTGGACCTAATTGTTTGAAGGAAGTGAGAATCCTAGATCAAATTACAAGAAATTGCATCAGGATTGTATTTCTTTGTGGAAGTTGAAAGTATCTGAGGTATATCCAAACTTGGAAAATTTTCACAAGTTATTAAAAAGTTAAAAAGCAAGATGAAGTAGCAATTCCATTATTTTTAAATACTGAAGATTTATATATTGATAAGTTCATAAAAAAAGTTGCTGTCTGAGACTTTTTCCATTGTAACAGATGATCATTCAAGTAGTCTGCTGGTAAGAGGAAGTTTTATGGTTAAAGATCTGTGGAAGAGCAACTTCAAAAGCCTATTTTATTCTGTACTTGAAGAAAGAGATGTATGTCTTTTGTTTATGTACACAAAACCAGAAAGAAAAAAACTACTGATCTTGCTCCAGAAATTTAGTTACCGCTACATTTAGGTCACTCTCATGTGCAGATAATTTCTCTAATAAAAACTGTGCAGGTGTTTATAAATTTGTCTCAGCTAGTATTCACGTGTGAAGAAGTAAGGCATGCCACAGTTTCCCAGTTTAACATTAAACTAGATTCTGTAAGGCAACCAGCTCATCATTATGGGGCGAAGGTCTTCTGTTTGCTCTGTGATGGTCTTGTGGTGTGGCAGCTAAAGTTGGAATATGTTGGCAGTGATGTTTCTCATTCCTATAAAATCTGACTATGAAATGTCTTTCACCAAGAACTTTAAAACAGAGTAATCGCCTTCAAGCAGATTTTGGTTCAGGATGTATGTCGAAATGTCTCCTGCAGAAATACCAGAATTGTAGGAGACACGTGAGCATCTTTAGGAACGAGAATGGGCTGGACAGTCTTAATTTCAGAGTAAGGGTTTCATAGTGTCTCCCTTCATCTCCTAAACAATGAGGACATTGGCTTGATCTGGCTACTAGGACAGTTGAAAGAGAATTTGTGGAAATTTCCTCCATCCTGATTGTTCTGGTTGCCTTGAAAGAGCAATTTCTGATTCCAGACAACAGTTGCAGATAATTCCACTGTCCCAGAACATAAAGAGTAACTGAAGAATATATTCTAATTCATAACAAAAGGCTGTATTTCTGAACCGTTGTGTGATGCCAAATTCAATTGTACTTGTACAATTCCTTGAATCTGTCAGGTCCATATCTGAGAAAGGACAAGTCATCTTCATTTCTGTGATATTTTTAAAATTCAGAAACGGGAAAGCAGGAAAAAAAAAGTGAGGGAAAAAATCCATTACTGATTCAGTAGTGACTTTCACAGTGTGCAGATACAATATGAAGCTACATTTAGGTATTTAACCTCAAAGAAAGTTCTGTTGAATATTTGTGCTCTGGGGCTTAGAACTGTACTTGCACTGTGTGTCAAATTTCCCCAGTCTTCCTGTGTCTTTCTGCAGTCTTAAGAATCCCAGATTTATGTTTATCTTTGCCTATGATGTTGTTATACTTTTCTGATGTAATCTGGGTTATATTTTTATATCATTTATCTTTACCAAGAACAAGGTTGACAGGTTTAGGTTGGCAGGGGAAAGAGCAAAGACTGGGAGGGGCTCACCAAGGTAGGAAAACAGTTCGTATGTCATCAGGGAAATATTCTGCTTTTCTGTGCAGGCAGGTGAACAGGACACACAAATTATCTCCTGTACAGCTGGAGACCTGTTTTATCTAGTAAACCTTTTACAGAGATTCTCATTTATTGTCATTCCATTGCAGAGTTATCTTTCCAATGAGGGATGTTGCTGGCACTGCCCCATATCTCAGACAAAAGCTATGTATTGTCACGAGTATTTACTCAAGTGGCATGGATTTAAAAGCAGAAGAAAAACAGATTTATCTAATCAAAGTAATCATACAATGTTTAGTGTTCCAAATTCTGAGTTTTCTGATTTAAGATGCATCACTAACACAGACTTAAAATTATTTCTCCTGGATTGTAATCCAGTGGGAGATGCAAGCTGTTAAACAAAAGAAAGATAAACTACAGCATTTGCTCATTTCTCCATATGAAGTTAAAATAAAATATCTGCTGAACTATAACCCTGACAGGTTTTTGTATTTGAGGATGTTTCCCTTGTGTACCTGCCAGGATTCCTATTGCATGCAAGTGTAGTCAGCATTGTAACAGCTGATGAAAAGATGAATGTGTGCTGAGGTCTCCTTTTTTGGCCTTTATTCTTTATAAAGTGTCCTAAGATACAGAGCACAGTT